ATATTGTCTATTATCTTTTTTGGTCCACTATTCGAGCCCTATATGATGGCGTATTGAAAGTCATCCTAAACTCAAAGGTTTACATTTTTCAATTTTTCAATATGGGTTGCACGACTGACAATTAAATGCTTATAGACCCTTGTAGACCTAGATAAGCCCCACCCATCCATGAATAAAATCCCGAAAAATTTCCTACAAACCTAAAAAAGGCCATTCCGTCCTTTTTCCTATTACCGTCAAAATCGCCCGTATACTATCGCCAGTACATCCATTTTCAGTTTGGGAACTACGTGACTACATACATTTTCTGGCACTATCGATAAAATCGTATCGTCGAAAGTAAACGTGATTCGTCTCTGTAATACATCCTCAGAACAGAAGCGTGTCGATTATCCAGAATCCATAGGAAGGATAGTTTAATGGATCTTTGAATTAAAAATTTAATTTCGTATCTGCTACATATGCAAATAAAAGTTGTTGAATTGTAGTAAACGAATCTAGAAATTCATACAAGTTAATTTAGTGAATTTTATTTTATATGTATAATATTTGTCTTATATCTTATAAAATTACAAAGTTATGTATCTTTATGCAAGTTTTCAGCCAGTATTTATCAAATATAATTACTAATATAAGTCTATAATTATTAGCAATTTTATAGACTTTTAATAAATTCAATCTTTTCTAAACATATATTGTCAATTTAAGGTATAATTTAGCAAATCGAGCTATAGAGGTTCTCTATTACCTCCGCCAATTTTATTGGCGGTCCTCTTTTCTTTGTAAATATACTCACCCATAAAACAAATAAGCTACTAATAAATTTAATAGCCTGTTTTTGCAAGTAAGTATTAGGTGTTGGAATTAATTCGTAGCGTTTTTTAATGAAAGAATGTTATTTATTTCACATGAGCATTAAAAAATACATTAATGAAAGTACTTCCCATCACTTGTAAAACGCTACGAATTAATTCCAACACCTAATATATCTTTAATTTACAATATTTTTTTTAATTTTTATGTCTATTTTATTACATTTCGCTAATAAAATTGCAATAACTTTTTAAATATTATTTTTTATTGTATTATATTATCCTTTATACAATTCGATATTACAATTATAATAATTATTTACAATACAGTATACAATTATTAATGTTGTTCAAAATATAATAAAAAAATGATAACATAAGAGCATAATTAACAAATCTAAAAACCGCGACAAAAAATACTTTTTAGATGACCCAATAACAGCACTTTTATCGCGTTCAAGATAATTATCTTAATAATTTTATCATATCAAAATCTCCGCCTCGTGATATGCTGATTAGTATCCGATTCAAAGAACAATCTAAGTCAAGTTAAAAAGTTAAAAAGTTAATTTATTTTAACTTAATTTACATTTTAGATTTCTCTTTTTAATTTTATTTAGTTACATTTTATTCGTAACTATTATTTTTTATCTAATTTTTTTTTTTTAAGTTAAGTTTCAAACATAATACGCGGCAATAGCGATAGCTTAAAATGAGATGAAAATTGCATGAATGAGCAATTTTAAGTTAACCAATGAAATTATAAATATTCTAGTGAATTTGCTCATTTGTAATTTTCACCTCATTTCAAATTATACATCGAGTCCCAGATTTCAATCTGTCAGAAATCGTGTATTGTCACGTCAGCGGTACTTATAAAACTTGTCCAGGAATGTCCCTGGCCAAATTACAAATTTTTCCTTACTTCAATAACCGACGGGGCACTAGAACTGCAGGGACCGTCCCTGACATCTTCTCCCCACCTCACGCGCCCTACCAGCATGGAGGGGCACCTTTTTCCTGAAAGCGTTCGGGTTCTAAAAACGGGACTTGCTCTCGCGAGCAGCGAGTTTTTGAGGGGTAGTTCAAAACTTCCCGGGGTCGGGTCTGGTCGAAGAGAAACGGTCTCTTCCAGAGTATCGCGATTTCTAGTTAAATTCCTAAATTCTACTCGCGTGAGCAATCCAATCTAATCATAGGTACATCTTATTTAATCTTCCTAGTTAACCGCGTCTAATTATTATAAATAGTTATAACATAAGTCTGGATATGTGTGTAGCAACTGCAGAAGTTATAAAATACACTAATTACTTTTGAGCAATTATAAGTACGTATATATATTAATATTTGACGAAACCTCTCCTTTTACAATAAACGCCGCCGCGCGTATACGTTTATCGTTTAACTTGGAGATCGTGTGTGTGAACGAGCGGAATCAGCGCCAGCCAATCATCGAGCACCTACAAGGAGCCTGACCAACCAGAGTCCAGACTGAGCCGCGCGTCCCGCACCACGGACCGAACCACCAGCAAGATTCATGAAGGTATTACCATAGGTTTCTTCTTAATCGAAAGAACGCGCAACTCTCGATTTGTTACCCGCCATTGGTCTCCGGTTTGTCCAGGTATCAATTACCAACGGTTGGACCTTGGGACGTAACAGTATTTCGATGTATCTAGTTTCTGATAGGTTGAAATCCATTATTCCTTATTACTATTATTACCTACCTCGTATTGTGAAGGTTTAGTCATAGATACTATAGGCGTACCAGTATTCATAGTCGAATCTTATATTGGGTCATCTAAAAAGTATCCGCGGTACTTTGTCACTACTTTGTCACTATATGACCATCACACACATCTAGTGACAAAAAACCGCGGATACTTTTTAGATGACCCAATATGTAAAACTGATACGTTTGTTACGGAATAAAATTTCCCTAAAGCCTATTCTACAATGTGCTTTTTGTTTTCTGTTTTCTGCATTTTGCTATTTTTTACATCTTGTCTTTTTGTTTCTTATCCGGTTTTTTGTTTTATCGTCTGAGGTAAAGTTAACAACTTCGAAAGAAACAAGAAATACATAGCAAGAAATACAATTGTCGATAAAACGGTTAGGAGAAAGTAGCAAAAGATAAAAAACAAGAAACAGGAAACAGAGTACATTGTAGAATAAGACACTCAAATGTGTTTTTATAATATATAACACATCGATACTTCTTCTCGTGATCTTCGTTGAACGATTATTTAGTGCGGGAAGACTTACTTTCGATAACTTGCGAAGAAAAACGTCTGACAAAAATTTCGAAATAGCTTTATTAAATTAACTTAAATTTAATAATTGTATGTGAACAAAATATTTATCAAACAGTATATACAACAGTCTATGTAAACAGTATATATAATATAAACAAAACATGTAAATAAAATAGAGTATTTTCCAAATAAAGTATATACAATATTTATCGTTTCCGTAATTTGTAAGACTGAAATCCTAGAATTATGAAATAAAAAAATATTTAAAAAAACAAATTTTACTTATAACTTTTCAATTATTTTTTTTTATATTAATTTAACTTTTAATTCAATTAATTTCATTGTAAATTGTATCTTAACCAAGTTAAATTTTCGAGGCTGTTAACTTTAACTTAACTTAGTTTTAAAAAAAGTTAACTTACTCTTTTTCTTTTCATTAAAATATTGTATTAGAATTGTTGGAATGTGTTAGGATTTAATGAACAGAATATATTTATATAATTATATTCATATAGTACATGCAATTGATAAAAAGTAATTTATTCATATAATTTTATGTATAATATTGCTTACAAGTGTTACTCGATATAAGCCAAACAATAAAATGATCGTATCTTTCAGTATACATATTTAAATACAATGTATAAATTGAAAAATTAAATTAACGAAATTATTGACTGCAACTAAATAAATTGATTGTATGTGTGTGTAACAATTATTAATTATAAATTTATTTTAATTAAATTGTTAGTTAAGTAACAAATTTTAATTTATCTTTAACAAATTTTATGTAAGTTTTTAATGTATAAAATATTCTTTGATAACGTCACATGTAATACGTGTAAATTCATAAATTTATGTAAAAAGATAAAAAATTGATATTTTAATATAAGTTAATTTTTTATGTAAAGGTTTTTGCCTTTACATAAAAAATTTTCATAAAAACATTCTTCATCTTCTTGAAAGTGAGCGTGACAGACAAAACAGACAACACACTAGTCTACTATGCTAGAGATCTCGGGTTAAATTCTCAATAGAACCAAAATATAATAAAATATTGACAAAAAGGGACTCATCCCCATGACTTTGACATATGTTGTCAATGACACGTGCGTCCTCTTGGAAGGAAGCGACATTTCACCAAAAGTATCTTTGCCAAACAAATAGAAGCAAAAAATGAACAAAGCCAAGCTATAAATAGAAGCAATAATTTAATGGAAGTTTGATATCTAAATGGATTCTATGAAAACATTAGAATTTATAATATCAACTTCCATTAAGTTATTATTTTTTCCTTTTATTTATAATTTCCTTCTATTTATAGCTTAATTCTGTTTACTTTTCGAATTCTTTTCAGAAGTGAAAGATGTTTTTCATTTCTTTCGTATTATTTTGTGTTTCTGTCTCGCGTATTAACCTATATTTAATCTTTTTTATATATTATTCGTATGAATATCTGTATTTGATTTACAGACCCCTTTATATCCCACATTTATTGACCAGATGCTTACAATTTCTTGTAAGGGCAAAATAACTGACTAATTATAATCTTGACAATGTCTTATGACCTAAATCTTTTGTTTTTAATAACGCACGATAATTGTCTTGTGACTCATGTCTTAAAGATGTATATACAGGGTGTTTGGAAATTAGTGATAAGTTTTTCGCACTTATCACTAATTTCCAAACACTGTATACATATATGAGGTATCACACCTCATATATATATATATATATATATATATGTGTGTGTGTGTGTATATATATATATATAAAATATATATACACACACACACACACACACATTATTAAAACTTAGGTCACGAGACAGTATTGTGCGTTACTATAAAGACAAAAGGCTCATAGTCTTGAGATTATCAGTCAACCAATCTACTAAAGCCCTGATGGAAACAATATATTGCAGTTTATTGAGCGCAAGCATGGCGTAAGCAAACAGCGCACTGGTCTGCTATACTAGAGATGTCGGGTTCAATCCTTGATAGAACCAATTTTCATACATGCTCGTAGCCTCTCTTGGAAGGCAATGGCAAATCGAGTAGTATACTTGCCTTGGAAACTTCTCTACCAATTCGTTCGGAATCAACTGTAAATCCCATATGACTGTATACAAGCAGCGTGTGTACCATAACACAGGCATATGAGAGAAGTTACCATGTTCGGCCACGAATCAATAGAATTAGAAGATATTACAGTTATCATTTAAATAACAATCATGTACTTTTACATTTTAAATCATCACAAATTGTTCAGTCGCTGAGTTTTTTAACTTCAACTTCGATTCAATACAATCTACAGAAACATAAGTACACCAATAATACTCTCATGTCCCCACACAATCTCTATCATACGCATGAGATTAACTGGATGCGCTTATACACATATATCCGACTATATATTATCAAATCGTCGCTTCGCGAATACAGTTCTTTAAGAGAAATCAGTCGCAAAGGGAAGTCTAATGCTGATTTTTGCAAAAATCGGTCTTTTATTTGTTTATTCACTAGCAATCGTTGATTTTCACCTGAGTCATTCGGTCTCATTGCAGCTGCTGGGTATTTTCTTAATCGACTAGTCACGTGTTTTCCGCTGTTGCTCTGCCTTTTACTGCCTCAATTATTTCGTCATAGCGTGCACGACATCATCGCTGCAGCACTTGTGATAATTCTGATGAGACTATTACGTAACCTCATACAATCGCTTCTTCTACACGCCTATTTTATACGTTTGTCGTAAACCTTCTTCCCGAAGCTCACACTACGGGCGAAATGAACTGTTGTGTGACCAGTCAATTAATTAGAGACTTCAACGATATGCTTTTGCCCTCTCCGCCCAAGCAAAGAGGTCCACGCTAGGTATCGCCTCAAAATCTGTGCAGCGTCTCAATTCGTTTCTAAAGTATTACAGAAGCGATATTGAATTAAGCGTGTAATAAATATTGAATACTTCATTAAGTTTGTGCCATAGAATTTCGAACTTACCCTGCCTGCGGTTTGAGAAATACATTGAGCTGCATATGCGTGATGTTATTGCCATTATCGCAGAATATCCGTGCTAAGGTGACGTTGCGTAATTGAGCCAATTGTTCTAGGATAAAAAAAAGATAATCAATCAAACTTGAAAAATTTTTCTAAATTGGTAAAAAAATTCTCATATAATATTTTTTAAAAATGATTGTATTTTATTTTACATTTACAAAGATTTCTAAAATAATAAATTTTAAAAGAATATACTTTTAAACTTTTTTAGATTTTATGAATTTTTTTTTAGAAATTATAAAATGAAAAATTTGTTAATCTTAAATTATTCGCACATATAAAAAATTTTAGGAAAACGTGGACTCTTTTTCAGAAAAAATATTTTTTTTCTTCTAAAAAATATTTTAATTCGTATAGAGAAATTTTCTAAAATATTATAAAAGTAAAAATATAAAATTTCTAAAAAATTATTCGTATAGAGAAATTTTCTAAAATATTATAAAAATAAAAATATAAAATTTCTAAAAAATTATATAAGAATTTCTACCAAGATAAATTTTGACCGAGTAAAATTTTTACCAGAGCGAAACGTATGAAACATTAAACAAATATAAACATGATATTAGGCGTACCAGACGTGAAGGGATGCGGTTGCGTCATTGAGTCATAAAAGAACCTATCAGTACGTCGGGATCTAGAGAATTGCTCGTAAATAAGACAGCGGAAGGTCGGGCCGATCATGCCGTCGTCTGCTGGTCTTTCTGCCATACCACCCACGATAAGATCGACATCATTGGGATGGGAATAGATTGTGCGAAATTTCCTCATCATCTAGTAACCGAATAGTATAATCACATATTGGTGACCATAAGAATATCAAATGTAAAAAGAGCGATTTGTTTCAATCTTACCTCTATAGGAATGTAGTCTAGGAAATCGTCAAAAGTCCTAGCAGCAGGAAGTCCACAGTATCTACGATAATAATTGTAACCAGGGAGACCATGATCACGGCCACGTGCAATGTCCAAACTAACGGCATCCAAACCTAAATTGTTTACATCGCTGGCATATAATTTGCTTGTCATCTATAATATAAGAATAACAATATTATAAAAATTTCTTCCTAATCATCAAACAAGTGTTTTTATACACTCTGAGAAAAACAGTAAATGACGACTACATAAGTTTTATATGTAGATTTGATATGTAGGGTATTCAGTAAGTTTATTGACAATACGCTGTTGGCTAGCCAGCATCGATTCCAAAGTGAAATATCTATGATCACAAAACAATACTCCATATTTGATGGAGATATGGAGGATGTCATGTATTATGAGCAGTTAAAACCAAACGAAACAACCACCGTCTAACATTATCGACAACAACATTGGAATGTTTGAATGATAATTTGATGCAAAAACGATGACGATCAATTGTTTCAAATTGCCGAAAGATGATTCTTCTCATGATAACACTCGTCTTTTTGGGTGCTTTCCAATTGCTTAATACATTTTAACACAAACGAACACAGGAATGCACAAAGTGTAGCACGATTCAATTGGAACAGAATGTGTACGTTGTGCATGATTAAGATCCGTTTCGGATAGAGTTAAATTAAATATAGCTTTTTCCGCTTGTATTAAATAAAAAAAAGTAAAAATGCCGACCACTCAACGTCTTCCAACTTCATTTATAGCCGCCGCAGTTAGTAACATGTAATTGTCACTAGAAAACACAAGCTTATACAGTCCTCGATTGAGTACAGATATGTAGCGTTGTGTCGACGATAACGGACAATTGGAACGCACTTGTATCGCGTGCACGAAAGTATCTAGGGATATTGCAATTGGAAAGCACCCTATGTTGCTATAGCCATGAAACAAATACTCATGGAGCTCGAATGAGAGGTTCTTCCGTATTCTCCAGACTTAGCACCAAGAGATTATTATCTGTTCCGATCGATGCAACACGCTCTGGAAGATACATACTTCCGTAATTACGATAAAGTCGAAAATTGGATTACCAAATGGATTGACTCAAAAGACTAGAGAGTCTTAAAGGGAGAGGGTAGCAAATTGCATCACGTGAATGTTCAATCAGGATGGGGATCACATGATCAGTTTTCTTCAATCTATTCCATGACTATGGAGCTTTGATGCCCACGTCCAATCAGAGAAGACGTGATGCAGTTTGTCACTCTCTTCCCTTGAGGCTCTCTACAAAAGGCAGACCATTCTTCCATCGCGAAATTCAACTTCTGCCAGAAAAATGGGAAAAAGTCATATCTTCGGAGAGCAAATATTTTGATTGAGACATTTTGTTTTATTCACACATTTTGTTATTGAAATAAATGCTCAAAAAACACAAAAAAACAGCGACTTTCAATAATTCCCTGATGTATCCCTTGATAGGAAAACAGCATTATATAAAATTATAATTATACAATGTAATTGTAATTATGTATTTTTTGTATAAGATTAATTAAATTGTTTATTTCATTATCAGAAAGAAACTTGAGAGAGGACATGAAAGTCTTTTTTTCCGTAACGCAAAATACCTTCGTGCACTACTGTCCTCTGCAGAAATAGATGTAAACTACACAACAATATCCATTTTTTTATGGTGTTCCTGATGAAAATAAACGCTGAAATTATTGAAATTTCTATTAATTTTATTTAGATTTGTTATTTTAGCGATTTATTTCCATCAGAAGTATCGTAAAAAAAATTAATATCGTTGTATAATTTACATCCACTTCTGCAGAGAGCAGTAATAGTGCGCGATGGAATTTTACCGTTACAGGAAATTATAGGAAAAAAGCCCTCACGTCGTTTCTCAGGTTTCTTTCTGCAATTACGCATTAATTCTACATATAAAACTTATAGAGTTAGTTGCTACCAATGTGTTTTTCTCTAACTGTAAGTGTACGAGAGAAAAAGTATTTAATGCCCTACTTACATCTGAAATGAGACTAATGTCCATCTTCTGACTAGTTTGAGTAGCAAGACCACGAAGCAATCCATCAAACACCTCCTCCGTTTCGATTATGCGCGGATTAAAGAAATGCTCCGCTAGCTGTAGTGTTTTATTCTGTTGGCGAAAATTATCCGGCATACTAAAACAAAAAATTACGCATATTTCATATATTTGCGCTTTATAAATAATTTGTGAATAAATAGAATTTATTTTCGGCGTGTCGTAGTGCTTACCTTAATTTTTCCTGCATCAGCGAATTCAGGAAACGTAACGCTGCAGTAGCAGCTTCATTGCTGACCGCCGGTTCGTCATCAGAATTATAGTTATGACTATAATTATTTCCTACAAGACCGATAACTCGAGTGTACCTTCTGCCCAGAAGAATGGGCAACCACTCTTTGTACGTAATATGTTGAATCTCAGCGATTACAATGCGCCTGGTCTCTTGGAACAAAATCTCGTCCGACCATTCCGGATTCAACCTGGCAAGTTTGTCGGCGACACGATTATGCTCACGATGCCAAACCGTGTGAATTGCAGCTAACTGAGGATGAACGTTCACACGATCATCACCTGGTCGACACATAGTTGTTAAAATGTTGTAAAACTTTTTGTGACAAATATGTATATAAATGCTTAATTATACACGGAAAAAAACGATTTTGCTGAAGTATCTAAAAATTTAGCTACATAGACGTTTGAAAGTAATTTTGTTTTATATATATAAGATAAAATTCACCGGAATTATAGCAGTTCTCTCCGCATTGCGATGTGAATTCGGTTTCTCCTCTTGGCAAGTACGTGTAATTATTTCGCACATCAATGCGAAGATGTCCATCTTCGAAAGTGCGAAGTTCGCGAGATTTCTTCGGAGTAGAACCGTAAATCGTAGAACCGTCCAGAAAATGGCTTACTTGATTCATCTACAAATTATATGCGAATTCACATATAATTTCTAAAATCATGAATTATAACCAAGCAGTAAATATTGTTCTAAAATTTTGAATTGTTACTAAGCAGTCCTGAATTTTTCAAATTAATTTTCTTATACATTTCCTTAAAGGAAAAGGTTTAATTCCAACAATCTGATTTAATATATAACAATAATATATAACACCTACCTGTTCTACAGGTCCAAAAGTGCACTCCGATCGTAAGACTGGTAACGACCGAACGTAATTCATGCATCGAACGTAATGGTCGCCGTAAACGGGATCGTGATCTGGTACACTGATCGGGGCACAATCTGGATGAACGTGACGCGGTGATAAAGAATCTCCATCCGGCTGACAGCAAGAGATCGGTTTTCTCGTTGAAACTACAACATATTAAGACATAATTTTTTTAAATACAAAAATATAATAAAAATAAAACAACAGCACTTCCTATATTCTTAAAAAAATGATAAAAACGATATTGTACAAAAAGAGACATAATCCGTAATGTGTCAAATTTACGACGAAAATTATAATTATATTTTACACACACACACATAAAACACACACACACACAGGATGTCCAGTGAGTTTTGACAAAGTGTTCATGTGCAGACAGGGCGAACTAAACTGATTGTAAGTACGAATCTTCATGCAATTACTTCGCGCATTTACAGATTCATCTTATATTGGGAAATTCGTAAAAAGTCATCACTAATTTAAACACAGAAATACTTACATAAACCGGATTATGTCATTTCCTGATAAAAATCAGTAAACTTTATGTCGTAAATTTCTTACAATACATAACGTATTTAGAATTGCGGATGTAAACAGATAACATTTTAATCCAACTATCATAAAATGGAAATGCTTATATAATCGGATTTAATATTTACTTGGATGAACTTAACGCCAGTTAAAGAGTAATTTGTTCATATCTATCTTGATGTGAGCGTATATACTTTTTATTTGAACGTAACTGGAATTTTTAGCAAGGCTTTTAAATTTATGCTGTTTCATAGAAGAATAAAAGAATAGAATTTGAATTTACTTTTTTCAGAATAAACACAGAGGCAATGCCACTCAATTATGTAATTGTATGAGCAGCGCGTTAAGATACATTTGAGCAGAGAGTAAATCACCTTATATCTATGCGGAATTTTTCAATCATTCATTGTTTTGTAATTACTGACACTGCTGAGGATGACTTGAACCAGTACGCGATCAGACGAATGAACAATTATCATACACAAGCTCGTCACTTATGATTATTCGATTTTAGCGAACTCGGATGCGCGCGAGCTCTTAAAATGATACGCTTAGCAGAACAGTACGAGAGGCAATCATAATGATTATAGCATAAATATTCTGTTCTATAATATTCTGTTCTATAGGCGAGTGCAGTGTCAAAATGTATAGTATATACAATTATATTTGCAAATTTGACACATTAAATTGTAATTAGTTTTGAAGAAAAAATTGTATTTTGCTCCAGTTACTGCACTGACTCTTTACGATCTTCTTTTTGTACAAATGTTTTTATATTTTTCAAATTACTTATTTGCGACCAACGAGAATTATTTTTACAATCGATACAACAACGTGTCTTTATTTATCCAATTTTCAATTAGAAGAAACATTATTTATAATTCTTTCAATCTCCGGTAAAAAAATTTAGAACTGTAAATATGATGTAACAATTTTTTATGAGTTTACATTTAAATTTAACCATTCAGTTACTTACCCATCTTACGAACTGGGGTATGAGCCATGTCATGAGCGATGAATTGGCTCCATTCCATCACAGCCAGTGTTCTGCTAGCATCCGATTGATTATTCGCGGTAGATAAAGTGGCGCTTACAAGCCTTGGACTTGGTAGTGGTTTCTTAGAGTGTCCGACACGTCTCGGTTCTTGGATGCCTGCTTCCCAAACCGAACATTAGATCTTTGTCGCGTAAATGATTAAAAGTCGTAAAATCGGAGTAGATCGGTGCTCTATTTTGATACGCGACGTAACGCTTTACTCTTGCAAACCATTGAATCACGCAAGCAAAATTATAAAACGATATGATTCCGCGACGTCGATTTGTAAATCGATTCGTAAATTGACAATTAGATGAACGAATGATCATCATACATAAGCTCGTCACTTATGATTACTCCGATTTTAGCGAGCTCAGACGCGTGCGCGCTCTCAAAATGATATGCTTGGCAGTGCAGCACGAGAGGAAACCATAATGATTATAGCATAAATATTCTGTTCTAACTATATATATAGGCGAGTGCAACCGCCGACTGTGCTAATCTTATGTGATCCTAACTATACCTACAACCTGCCTTCTCCGCGCGATAAAATACAGGGAACGATCAGAGGAGTATAATTGTGTCGCAAACGTATTCGAAACGAGAATCGTAAATAGGAATTATTATCACTACAGGGTCTACATCCTACATTAGCGGAGACAATTTCGCTCCTGGCGCCTGATCGGTCCCTGAAGGATCCTAAATCTCGTGCTGCAATGCGAGGCTGCTAGCAAATATTGCCTCGACTATATCGACTTCGACATTCTGATGCGTTATCGAACGACGAGCCGTCTGTTGCGTCTCTGTTAAAATTCTGACAAAGACGCGATTGTGTAACTGCAATCTCGAAATAACAGCTTGCAGGTCTAATCGACGCCCTGTCATCGAAATTACGGCCGCTCGAATCGAAAACGCTCGCAGAAACGTCCTTATGAACTTATCTATATACATGATCGAGGAAGGCATTCGAACGAATGAACCAAGCTAGGAAGAGGTACCGAATGTAACTTTAAATGTGTCGAAAATGCACTATAGCAGAAACATCGATAATTTCTAAAAGCAATTCTAATAATTTATTACAAACAAGAAATTTGCGCACTGAGAAAAAATATAGTGTGATAACAGCACGAAATATTACAGCAATATTTTAATAGTACGCAATATTACAAAAATTGCAACAATATTGCTGCAATATTGAAATTTTAATATTTTATTGGAAATATTGCAAAAACATTGTGAAATAAAATATGTAATGTTAATATTTTGTAGGAAATATTGCAATATATTGTTGCAATATTATAATTCAACGTAAGTATGCGGTTCCGCCATGAGATGGACACGCTTTTCATAACAAAAAAACATCTAGGAAGTCTATAAGAAAGTGTACGCAAGACGAATTGGTGACTCTCTTGGAAATTCTTAAGCTCTTTTAAATGTGCTTTTTAGGCCTCCGAATGTTTTTTTATCATAACTTTATATCATGTACATTATTTTAAAATGTATATTATGTCATACTAAATATATATTAATGTCATACTAAGCAATAATATTTTAGCAATTAATAAAACTGGATTAATTATTAAAACGTTGCATAATATTGCAAATATATCTGTAATATTTTTTCTAAATATTGCAAAATATTACAGCAATATTTAATTTTTGCGGACTTAGGAATATCATTACAATATTGCAGTAATGTTTTATAAAATATTGCAATCTCTCAAAATAATATTGTTACAATATTGCTGTAATATTTTGTGCTGTAACGACGGTACTACACAAATTTTATAAGTAGAATTATATAATTGAATAAATTATTCTCAAGTTCGCAGTAATCTCACATTTGCAGTATTCTCACATTTGCTATAATTATAAAATAATTTGATAAATTTTTTGCTCGTCTATATATATTTAAATAGAGTATAAAAAAACGATGAATTTGGAGCAAACAAAGATATTTGCCATAAAATTA